AGCATGAGAAGTTCGATAAGGTTGTTCGTAATAATGGGTATCAAGTCAGTGAGTCTGACAAGTGCCTATATACATCAAGGTCGCTGAAAGGAATGTGGTGATTACTGCCTCTATGTAGATGATATGCTCATCGTCAGAAGTGATTTGAAGATATTAATATCTACGAAGAAATTTCTATCAGCTCAGTTCAGCATGAAAGACCTTAGAACTGCGGACGTGATTCTCAGAATCAAAATCATATACTCTAAAGAGGGTATTGGATTGTCCCAATCTCATTATGTCGAGAGCATGCTAAGAAAGTATGGCTACTACGACCTGTCAGAATTGTCAGTACCGTATGATTACAACAATAAGCTTTGACCGAACACTGGAAGACCAGTAGAGCAGCTAAGGTACTCAAAGATAATTGGAAGTCTTATGTACGCGATGAGCTGCAAAAGGTCAGATATAGCATTCGCTGTAGGAATGCTTAGTAGGTTCACAAGCAATCCTGAAAAGCTTCACTGGGATGCTGTCCAGAGATTGATGAGATACTTAAAAGAAACTACAGGTCTAGACCTATTCTACACTGGATATCCGGCTGTAATCGAAGGATATTCAGATGAGAGCTGGTGCTCAGAACCAGATGAGTACAGATCTACTGGAGGTTTTGTCTTCACTATGGATGGAGCTGTCGTCTCGTGGAAATCTAAGAAGCAAACTATAATTGCACAGTCATCAATGGAATATATGTTCTTCACACTCTGTGCTACAAGAGATGAAGCTGAGTGACTCAGTTATATTCTCCGAGACCTTCCATTGACAGAATTACAAAGCGTAATTACAATCTATTGTGATAATCAAGCAACGGGTGCTGTGACAGCCAATGTTTTAAATATCGGATATCGGAAAAATATCGGATGGCCAAAATTCATATCGGATTGCGGATATCGAAAAAATATCGGGGATATGTGGTAAATATCGGAATGCTATAATGAATGTTTGCATACATAGTATAACGCATTAAAATGTAATCTCAACATATGTAATAAAATTTAAGCATACAAAATATGAATAATATATGTTTAGGATCGCTAATCAACCTTCTAAAACAAACAAAAGTGCAAAGCAACGTTGTAACATTCGATCTGCTTTTTTTAGGGCAAAATATCATTTGATATAATGGGAAAATCTTGATATCTCGCCCAAAAATTCCAAACACGGTATATTATTTTGCAACAAGCTATATAAAAAGATATATTGATCCATATATCGGCTAATATATCGGCCATATCGAGGATTTATCACTCAAAATAGCCAAAAAACGATAAAGGATATTTAAAGACCATATCGGTTGCGGCAAGCCCTGTAAAAGGATATATCGGGGGATATATCGGGCCATGTCGGGGATATTTAAAACAATGGTGACAGCGAACTTGTTGTTCAATGAAAAGAAGCGGACCATTAGTCTGAAGCATGGCTATTTGAGAAAACTCATTTGCCAAGGAGTCATCTCGGTGATTAACGTTCGGTCTTCAGATAATGTGGCTGATCCTTTGACTAAAGGTCTGAAAAATAACATAGTCGAAAGGACGTCTGCTGTAATGGGTCTCAAAGTTTTGTGAGTCTTACAAATACTTACCATGTTCATCCAATTATTAGTTTAAAGCTTACGCTACTAATAATAAAGATAACTAGTTTAAAAGCCAAGTAAGATTTACAAAGTTTGGTGAGTCTTACAAACACTTACCATTTCGTCAAGTTATTAGTTCAAAGCTTACGCTATTAATGACAAGATGATTGGTTCAAAAGTCAAGTAAGATTTACAAGTAAAATCCTATCATGTTAAGAGGTTGTCTGTTAAGCCTTAATGGGTCTAAAGCATTTCGGATGCGGGATGTTGGATAAGTAACATGTCTAAAGGACTAACCGATAATCCTATCATGTAAAGGGATTAGCTGTTAAGCCTTAATGAGTCCAAAGCATTTCGGATGCGGGGTGTTAGATAGGAAACACGCCTAAAGGACTCACGTAGAATCCTATCATGAGAGAGGATGACTCTTAAGCTTTAATGAGTTCAAAACATTTCGGATACGAGATGTTTGATAGGAAACATGCCTAAAGAACTCACCTATGTCTGGGTGGAGATTTGATCGTCTCCTATGATGTCTTGTGAAAAGATACCTAGAACCCTAGCAGAAACCAGGACAAGCACGTGGTCATAAATGTGCAAAGGCAAAGACAAGTGTGGTTCAAAATGAAAACTACCACAGATGAGTTTGATCTTGTGTGATCGCTAGATTTTAGACATGTGCTGATTCAAGTTTCTGTGACACCATACATCTATCTTCTATTCAGTTGGTCTAAGGAGGATTCAAGTCCTTACGACATCTACCTTATGCACAACGATTAAAATAACGACACCATAACACGATACTAGTTTAAAAACTTGTGCAGGATTGTTAGATTTTTTGGTCAAACCCGTTTTCCAAAATGAGTTTTTAAACTATATATATATATATATATATTTAGTAATAAAAAAACATTCTACTTATGAATATATACTCCAGCATCTTTGTCATGTCATCGTCATGGATAAAAATAATACTAAGAAGAGGCATGAGATCATCACAAGAGATTTTTAGTTAAAAAAAATTAGATTACCATTTATATTTTCACAACGAAATACATGTTTGTCACTTGCTGACATGTACCAATAATTGTACATTGACAATAATATCCCGTACAAATTAAATGAACGAAAGTTATGTTGGATTTTTTGGTCAAAACTGCTTTTCAAAATGAGTTTTCAAACTATATATATATTAACTACAAGTACTTTTCATAAATGCTTAGTAGCCTAGTGGAAAGTTTATGTTTTGGTATTTCAAAAGGTCCCTTGTTCGAGGCTTGCCAACGGCAAGCCGAGAAATATTTTATTTGAATTAATCCCTTATAAGTTATAGTGGGTCGTGGGCCGTGGGCCAAGGATCGGGGCTAATCAGGCTGAGGCGCTAAGTGGTGCTTTGTTAGGTGCATTTTTTACTTCGCACGGAGGCATCGGGGCGAGGTGGCGCCACGTTGGCTACTACTATGGCCGCCACGGAGGTTGCCTCGCAGGTTGCTTCGCAGCATGCGGACGAGCTACGTATTCGCACGAGAGTGACCCTAGCGTTCTCGTAATTTGACAAGGTTCGCTCGTTCGACGAGGTTCATCTGTCATACGAGATTCGTCTGTTTGACGATGTTCATTCGTTCGACAAGGTTCATCTGTCATACGAGGTTCGCCTGTTTGACAATGCTCGTTCATTCGACGAGATTCGTCTGTCATACGAGGTTCGCTTGTTTGACGAGGTTCGTTTGTCATACGAGGTTCGCTTGTTTGACGAGGTTCGTCTGTCATACGAGGTTCGCCTGTTCGACGAGGTTCGTTCGTTCGACGAGGTTCGTTCGTTCGACGAGGTTCGTCTGTCATACGAGGTTCGCCTGTTTGACGACGTTCGCTCGTTCGACGAGGTTCGTCTGTCATACGAGGTTCGCCTGTTTGACGACGTTCGTTTGTCAAACGAGCTTCGTCTGATTTGCTGAGTCGTGACCCTCGCGTTTCATAACAACGCGTCCATTGATTGCCTCGTATTCAGCAGTTACTGCATGCAGCAGTTACAACAGCATTTAGAGCAATTTAATGCATTGATGTTACAATCTTAATTACCATTAAGATTGTAACAGTCACATTAATTGGTAGTGACTCTTGAGCTGGCCTTAGAGGCCTATACATAACGCCCTTTGGCAGCTCTTGGTTGCTGCTGAAAACTCTCTCGCGAGCGTGGAATACGAACGTCAGTATAGAATACGAACGTCAGTATACACACGCGAGCTTGGAAAATGAACGTCGGATCGAGGTTGTTGTTGCTGTTGTTGTGCTGCTGCTGCAGAACTGTGCCCGCAGGAACTCTGAAACCGAAAGGTTATGAACCGAAAGGTTCCGAGATCGAGGAGATCTTTTGCCTTGACCGAAAGGTCAGATCGATGAGATCTTGATAGTACTAGGTTGGTGCACACCAGAGTACTGAACTGCTGTTCCTGGAAGCAGTTTGATCTTAGGATCCTTGTACCGGAGTAGGCCAAATATTGCTTTAAGCACAGCGTTTCACAAACGCATATCAGTTAATTGAAAAGTTTAAAATAACAGCACATCAACCTCCACTGTTTAATTCCAGATTTAACCATTATTTCCAACAATAAATCTCTGCGTCGTTTTAAATTCCATGCATGCATATATGGTCCGTACTCTGTAGACCAATTGGATTATCTTGCATTGCTGTTGCAGATCAAAGGACTTCTATCCGCACTTGGATTCTCCATTCCACAAGTTGTCTATCTCCCAAGTTTTATCGGATATAATCTAGAAGACTCTAAATTAACAGCTGATAAGAAAAGAAAATGGCAACAACAGCTCATAGGCACATGAGAAGTGAAGAAAATCCTCATCATCCAATCAATTTTTGTTTTAGTTCAACCACTAGGCACGTACCTGAAAAATAGCCTCGGCATACTAAGACGGCGTCCTTTGACATGGAAAACATATACGGATCAATAGAAACTATATATATCTAACTAAACTTACTCAATGAGCCTCTGATAGAATATAATGTGGTTAGGTCTAGAAAATGTATTACATGTGAGGAGAACAAAAGTGGTAAAACTAGATGAACTCGCAAGGCAGTTCCAACCCTCTAATAATGCAGTAAAAAAGTTTTAACACAATATATTTCCAACTGCTTTAGCAAACCATAGACAAATTTCCAAGTTTCACTGTTCTAAGCAAATTCAACAATTTGCAAATTTGTTTTAGGATTCGTTTCAACGGATACAGAAACCCCGTGTAGAATTTCCGCTCCTATTATTAATTTACTACCTAACATTCCCAGAGATCAACTGGTACCGCTAAAGAAATAAAACCCTTCAGTGGAGCATTTCATCAAACACCTCGTAAGCAACACGTGGGCTGATTTAGATACCTTAGCGTGGTTCCAAGTGTTGGAAACCGACAAGGGTCCTCTCTCTTTGATGATCTGGAAGAGGCCTTGAGATATGGCCTTGGCCTCCTCTCTTGGCACCTTGGGGTTTATCCTCTTTAGGTCCGGCGCGCATTTCCGAGAGAAATACCGTACCAACTTCATCCCTGCCGCTGCTGCAGCGCCTGCTGCGCCGCCGCCGCCGACGCGGAACAACATGCTTTTTTTTTCTGGGCGTTCCGCCTGCTCGATCTCACTCGCGATTGTTGGATCTTTCTTTCCAGGATACGTAGGCTTCTTAGTGGGCCCTGATGGCTAGTTCTTTTCGAAGCTTAATTTTGGGCTAAGGCCCCAGCTAGCCTACACTATAGCCTTTACGCGAGGCCGGTGTGCACGCTCCTGAGGCAGCGCAGGAGTGTAAGGGGCTGTTTGTTTCGTTTTCCCCGGAATCCAAAATCCACTTTCCTTCACTTTTTCACTTTCCTCCACTTTTCAAAACTCACTTTCCTTCACTTTCTCCATTTTCCTCCAATAATATTGTGACAACTCATCCCATCACATCTCATTTCATACTTTTAAAAATAAACAAAACACAAGAAATGAGTCACATCAATCAACTCATCTAAGGGGCTGTTTGGTTGTATGTTTTTATCATGTAAAAGGATGGAAAGTGTAAAAAAGTGGGTCCCAATGTCAGCATTCATCACTTTCAATTGTTTGTTTGTAGTTGTGAAAATAGTGTAAAGTGATTTCATATGCTGATGTGGCTTGTAAAGTGATTTCAAAAAAAAAAACATGATTTTAGGAGAAAGCTGACATTGAAATCAGGAAAAAATAATAAAAAATAATTCCAACCAATATGATCATTTGTGTAGGGACCACTTTTTACACTTTCCAAACAAACAATTAAAGTTACATTTGCAAACCAAACAAGCCATTTATGATTCCAATGGAATAAAAAACAAACAAAGAAAAGTATAAAAGTAAAATTGATAAGGTGGACAACAACTTTCCAAGTTGTGTCATAAATACACAACTTTACCAACAACAACCAAACAGCCCCTAACTCACTTTCCCTCACTTTTCTTCATTTTCTATCATCTTTAAAAATTACTCACATCATCCAATAATATGGTGACAACTCATCACATCTCATTAAAATTTTCTTACATCACTTTCCTCCAAAAAAACAAGGAAATTGATTTTCCTAAGTATGTGTCACATCATCCAATAATATAATGACAACTCATCTCATCTCATATATTTTCTCACACTTTTAAGAATGAACCAAACACAAGAAAAAAATCTAAACAAGAAAAGTGGAGGAAAACATCAAAAATTACTCACATCAACCAATAATATGTGACAACTCATTTTCTCCCTCACTTTTTCGGTTATAGCTTTGACAAACCAAACATCTGAAAGTGGAGGAAAACATCAAAATTCACCTTCTTTTCCCCCAATTTTCCCACTTTCGGTCTTTTTTTTTTCGAAACAAACAGACCCTAAAATTAAAATAAAATGAAAATAACCTTCATAGTCTATGAAGAATTCTAACGCAACACTTTCAGTTGCTCGTTTAGTGTTTGTAATAGGGTGTTTTACTCATGGCTATCTTATTATCCTGATTACATTATTAAGGACATTGAGACAGATGTAAGCTCTGTTTGAAGTTGTATACATTCCTATTTTTCCATAAACAAAATTATGAAGACTTATTTTTGTTTATAAGTTATATATATGGGGTGTTTGCTTGCATGCAAGCGAAAAGATGAAAGTGAAAAAAATGGTTTTTTTTTGACAAGTGTTTGTTCGCATGCAAGTAGTTATGGAAAATGACATCCAACAAAAGTTATCATATAGGATTTAATGCAATCTTGACTTCTTGTAAAAAATTGTGAAGTCACATGAAAGTGACAAGAACAATAACCAATTTTAATTAAAGTATTTTAACTTTATTTACAAATTAATCCTACGTTGTCACGTCATCTTTAGATTGTACTTTCAACAATGATTTCGGTTTCTAAACAAATACTATATTTCACTTGCATGTTGACGTAAATGTGAAAATCATTTGAAAAAAAGATAACTTGCACATTTTTAATCCACTTCTAAACTGCTGAACACCCCCCATATAAGGCCAAAAAAGTTTATTAGTTTTAGTGAATATCATCAATATTTGAAGAATAATGGTAACTACACTCATAAAAGCCACACTATATGAAATAGAATAAGGAATTTACTGAAAACTTATGATTTTTGAAAATGGGATGGATTTTAGGTGGATCTCAATTCATGTGGCTTTTATTGAGGTTGAGTCCTCGCAATGCTGTGAGGGCTTGAACTTGAGCTTCCCCTTGGAAGACGACCTTAATCAAAATACCCCCATTATAAAAAAAAAATTAGCTAAATTTATAAACATGTATCAAATTACAAGTTATTTTCTCGAACGGTAGTAATTTCCAAGAAAATAAATAAAAAAATGTTAAAACCTATTGATCATTTTCAATATACAAGCCCAATTCCGGCCCATTAGACTAATCCAGGTCAAAAAAATGGTCCGAACCAGTCCACCCTCAGTCAGATCCACAGCGAATCCTCACCTGCCTCTTAAAAAAGTTAATTAATTAATTAAAACCCAATGGTATTCTCCTCCTCTTTCTGTCCTCTGAACATAATAAATCTCAGCAGCAAGCTGTTCTCTATCCGCAGTAAAGCATCCTCCTCCATCTCCCCCCCTCAGCAACAAATTAGGGCTAGGGTTTACGATGGAGAATTCAGAGAAGGCGATGACGCTCAAGATCTTCAACTCGATGACGAAGGAGAAGGAGGTTTTCAAGCCCAAGGAAGAAGGGAAAGTGGGGATGTACGTTTGCGGCGTTACCCCCTACGATTTCAGCCACATCGGCCATGCTAGGGCTTACGTCGCCTTCGATGTTCTTTACAGGTCAATTTTGTTTCCCCTCTAGTTTTCCCCCCAATTTGGATTTTTTTTCTTCTTGAAATCGGATCGTTTGCTGTGAATTGGACTCCTAAATTAGGGTTACTAGTAGTTGATTTCTGTACTTGGGCCGATGTTTCGATGGATTTTGGTTATTAGCTCTTGGGGGCTTACATCCTGTTCATCAATTTGGGAAGATTTAGATTTTTACAAGTTGGGAGTAACATAATAGGGACTGGACGCTTTCGAAGGATTTCTTTCCCCTTATTCAGTTATAGGGCCTTCTTCCAATATATAGAAGGAGTACATTTAAAGGTGGAAATTTTAGTAGGTTAAAGCATGATGTATGCTCTGATCCAGATCAGTAAGCGGCAGTGCTACGTGATACAAAAGAAGAAATTAGTAACTGGAAGGGAAAATAGTAATTGGAGAATTAATAGCTACTTATGCTTTGTATGCTCACTTCTTGTTCTAATTATTGCTTATCAGAAGATTTGTACCCTATAATTTACATATGTTTTGAATCAAATTTGAGATAATCCATCTTGTCAAATTTATTTGCTTTCCCTATATGAAAGCATTGCTACCGTCTGTAAATACACATCATCAGCATCATCATTGTTTTTAAGTACTCGTTATTTATAAATTTTAGTTTGGAATTTTGCATTGATATCTTTGACACAGTCTTTTATTATTCTATCAAAATGATTGTCTCTTGTGTATTGATTCAGAGCAGGTACCTGAAATATTTGGGTTATGAGGTCAAATACGTGCGCAACTTTACAGACATTGATGACAAGGTATGCATACTTTAGGAGCTTCTTTATTCCCTAAACTATTAAGGGATTACAAATTTCACAAAACTATCATTTGGTGGATTTTTTTAAATATCTTTTCCTATTTCCCCCATTGTTGAAATTCCTTAATTTTTGTGATGGTAGGTTTGTTAATGCAATAATACCAGAAGATTGTTAGGACTCGTCCGTTTTAGTCATTTGTTTAGAGGAAGCTTTGGGTGAAAAAACAGTTGAGAGGAGTTGTCGCAGCTTAGGTTGCTATAGAAGCTCCTTTGATTCTTTTTTTGGCATTGCTGGAGCTCCTCCTGAAATCACTAACAAACCAAAGCTTGATGCTCTGATGATCCACTGATGCTTATGTTAGTGACTTGGAGAAGAATGTGGAAATCTAATCAAAATAAGAATGAAATTAGACTTAGTTTTCTTGCCACTATTACCTTTTTGTATACTAACTTGGAAGGGTAGATTGAGGAAAGAGGGAAGTTCACGTGGCGTCATTTGGTCAGTCCAAACGAGCGTAAGGAAGATTCCTCTATAATTTAATTGTCCATGTGTCCCTCTGGCACGAGTAGAGGTTGTTATGATGGCAAGGGAGGGCATGGAGAGAATAATCTTGATGGTTGCGTTGGTGTCCTCACGCGAGTTAGGTAGGATTCACTAGCTCACGTGGGAAGAGATTTGATTTTATACTGTTGCTAAGGATGCGGTTGCTGAGTAGGGTTTGAATCATGATGATCGGTATGTTCTTGGACGAGCTGGCGGTGACCGACCTCTAGCAAAGGATGAACAGCCATGGTCCTCGGCACGGTGCGTGGTGCTCATCTCGTCGTTGATCTTTCCGCTAGAGATGTGGTGTCTTGCTATCTGTTGGATAGGGCCTCTTAATTGTGTGCGTCTTTATATATGTCGATAAAATCTAGGGAAAGGATGTGTTTTCTCTTTTCTTGACTTGTGTCTATACATTAGATGTGTTATGCCTTTTCTTTTGATACCTGCATGTTGACGGTTAATATGGCACCTTGCAAATTTATTATCCTTCTGTAGGACTAGAGCGAAGTAGAAATAGCATCTGAGAGGAAGAAAGGAACTATATCCATAACTAACACAAAGGCTTTGATTTGATAATGCCTGCACAAATGCTTGCTCTATGATGATTGCACTACTATATTCTAGTTCTTCTCAAATAGCATGATCTACCTTTCGTGGTATATAATAATCAATATTCATAGTGATGTACTTTAGCAGCTATTTTACGACTATACTTTCATTTTCCCCCTTATGCTATGATGAGGAAAACTTTGCAATACTTTTTTGCTTCTTAGTTAATATTCTGAGAACAATTTTGTTAATAAGAAAGAGCATGGTTATTTCGCAAGGTTATTTTTCATTTCCTTTTCAATCTTTGCCTCAAATGTGTTTCATTGCCATTTCATAATGTTGCAAGATTCAATTCCTTTGATAGGAGCTCATTTACGTTGGAATTATATTGTACTCATACCCAAGAGGCTGTTTCACAGATCATTAAAAGAGCAAATGAAGCAGGTGAAAATCCATTAACTTTGAGTGATCGGTTTTCCAATGAATTTCTCCAAGATATGGCTGAACTTCAATGCTTACCTCCTACATATGAACCTCGAGTGTCTGATCACATGGACCAGATCAAAGACATGATAACTAAGGTACTATTTGATCCATGTGCATTTAATTTAAAATGGCTAGTGGAATTTTCATGTACATTTAATTTGCCGCTGTAAATATTAGATGTGCTTAAAGTATATTGATGCTATCATAATTCCTGTACTGTTATAGTTGTTAAGCTTAGTTGAAAAGTATCAAATGCCTTTTCCTTAGCTTCATTAGATTTTCTTCCCTTTTGATTATTCCTTTATTGCATTATATTATATAATGATATATGATCCTATTAATGTTGTTCGTTAGGGTTGGCAGAAAGATTACCTGTTCCCCTGAGCAGAGGACATAGGATAAATAATGTTTGAGATGTAAAGTCGAGTCCATTTGCTGATCCTTAGGTAAAGGTAATCAGTGGCCGGCTTTCAAATGTGATGATGGTAAAAAGAAATAACATCATCTGGTGACCGTAAAATTTGTAGTGAACTTAAGCAGTATTCCTTCTTTACATACTTCTGCAAACCTCAAAAAGTTCATTGCCAATGGTGACACGTGGTGCCAACAATGGCATCAAGTCATGGATCATGAATAAACTATTTCCCTAGAGTAAGAAAGTGCATCAATGAGATGTTTTCAAGGATTCTTATTGACTGAAAATATGGTATTATTGATTTTGTCAACTTCTTAGAAAATCTAATGTTCCTTATTCTACCTGTTAAAATGTGAGAAAATCACATTTGTTTGAAAATCTGAACTATCCTAGGCATACTAGATGCTATCTAAACCCAGATCTCCTATTACTTCACGTTCCTTGAAGGTTTCTGTTTATGTTGAACCCATCTTGTAGTTCTAGACATCAATTTTACTTGAATACTGACAAAAGTTCAAATTCTTTAAGTCCTGGCTTGCTAGAAATACCATCCATCACCTTTAACAAGCCTCTTCATTCTCTATCATGAGCACTGCTTCCACCCCTTGATATCATGCATAGGTAGATCATTCCTTGAAAATTTCGCAGCTCCTACAGATTTTTGCTTCGTACTAATTGCTAATGGTAGTCTGAATTCATAGGACAACTTTCACGGTACATACTACAAATGAATCTAGGACAAGGTTGCTAGCAGAATCATAGGGATCCCAACACTTTCGGTTTGATTCTGCATGGGAAAACACTAGCCTTTACTGTTAATCAGGAGACAGGGACATACGTGATGAGCACTTCAATGGATCAAAGATGGCTTGTTAGATGCATGGGATACGTTCAAGTACTCTCTGTTTGATTCTGGATAAGTGGTTTCCTTGAGAACTATTCCTTTGATGCAAGCTATGAGTATCTCGGAGTCTTTTTTCCTGTTTTCGTTCTTTCCTCAAAAGTTTGGATATTTTGAATCACTTTTCTGCTTTCAGGCTGTTCGGATATATTGATTTTCTGCTTCCAGTGTGTTATTTTGCAAATCAAAGCGTTGGACTAATTATAATTATTAGATGACTTTTAAAAGTATCTTTACTCTACGGGATGTTAGATTAGTTTACTAGTATGATGGCTGTGTGCAATTCATTTTGTTATTTTGTTCTGGATGTTCTGTCGAATGTTGGATAGCCAGCATAAGAGAGGCATTTGTGCATGCTGAATTTCACTTGATTTTGAAGAAATTTTTTTATTACTATAAAACAGTAAGTCAGTAACCATTATTGAAATGTCAGCGAAATTTGGATTTAGATCCTACATACAGGATCAGATCCATGCAAGGGAAATCTGATTATAACATGATAGACGAGAAATACTATACTTAATGGGTGCTTCATCTAAGAAAGAAATAGATTACCACTCTTATTATTCTGATTATGTTGCATTCCTTCATATATAAACATTTATATCCAAATTTCATCTCTCTTCTTTGTTACCTGAGATTGTCTACATTTTGATAGGTCCATAGCCTCAGCACGCAAAAAAAAAAAAAAACCATATAACCACAACTTGCATTAAATAAAAAAAATCATCAGTACGATTTATGTTAATTGTAATTGCTGCAACTTTTGGTGATTTCTATAGGTGTTATGTACATAATTGCAACTCTTTGTTTCTTATTGAAACCGTTTCTGATGACTCCTGTTTTCCGGCAGATTATTGATAATAAATGTGCCTATGTTGTTGAGGGAGATGTTTACTTCTCTGTCGACAACTTTCCCGATTACTGCTGTTTATCTAGGCGGAAACTGGATGATAACCGTGCAGGTGGGGGTGGTCGTGTCACTGTTGACCCAAGAAAGAAAAATCCTGCAGACTTTGCTTTATGGAAGGTGAAATACTTCTTATCATTTTTTTCCACAATTTGTTTATTCTCATCCAGTATCTAACTTATACTACATTATGACAGTCAGCAAAGCCTGGTGAACCAAGCTGGGAAAGCCCCTGGGGCCCTGGAAGACCAGGATGGCATATTGAGTGCAGTGCAATGGGTTCTCACTATTTAGGTCCTTCCTTTGATATTCACGGTGGAGGAATGGATTTGATATTTCCTCATCATGAAAATGAAATTGCGCAAAGTCGTGCTGCCTGTCCCGAGAGCAAAGTAAATTATTGGATGCACAATGGCTTTGTTAACAAAGACAATCAGAAGATGTCCAAATCAGATAATAACTTCTTCACAATCCGTGATGTAAGGATGCTTAACTTTGTTAGCATGCTGTTCCTTTTCCCTCTTTTATTTATTGTTTCTTGGAATATTTTAGTTAATCAACATTATTTGTCATATAGATTATTGCCATCTATCATCCACTGGCTTTAAGATTTTTCTTAATGCGCACCCATTATCGATCGGATGTTAATTATTCTGACAGGCAGCTGGATACAGCATCTGATCGTGTTTTCTATATATATCAGGTAAGTTCAGCTTTGTTTTCTTAATGCCGTGCATATTACGCTTGTCTATATTGTATGTATGAATGCATGTATATTTTCTCGATGATGATTTTTTTATGAGGTAAGTCCCATATCTTAGGCTAGAAGTGCCACAATTTTTATGACAAGATTTTTTTTTTAATTTATTGCAGACTCTTCATGATTGTGAAGTTGCACTATCACCGTTTTGTGATGTCTACTCTAAGGCACAAGTCTCTGCTGAAGCCCAAAAACTGGTCGAGGAATTCCATGAAGATTTCCTGGATTCCATGTCTGATGATTTACATACAGCTATTGTTTTGGATAAACTTGAGAATGTACTTAAGGCAATAAACGGTACTTTGAGGAAGTTCAAGGCATGGTTTCATCTGCTGCAGAAAACCCAGGATTTACACTTCTTTATTCTATTTTACATGTTTTTCATTTCAGTTTTTATTTTAAATAAATCTACTTAGACATGTGAATTGAGGCTTTCAAGCGCTGTAACTAATTATATCAATTGCATGTCTTAGATGGATATGAAGTTTCCAAAAATATATAATATTGCTCTTCCCGTTCTCTTTAGTAGCTTGAAATTTAATTATGTCAAAAATATATCCTTAAGTTTCACTTACATTACACTATGATGATACCTTTTACTACGTGACCGTTGGAGTTTCCATCTAACTTCGATCATGCGATTATCATTTGATTAAATTTACATAGTATATACTTCGATTTAAAAGGATTCTTTCGAAGCCTCCTTTTCCTTTTTCTTCCTCTATTTAAGAGAGAATCCTTCGTGGATTCCTCTCCATTTAATTACTTCACCTGACCCATATGCAAAAGAATATTTGCTTATCAGAATTTTGGGAATGCAGTGTTGCGAAATGTGGAAATTTGGGTAGCATGTTAAAAAAAAACAGTAATAAATGGGTGGAAATACCATTTCATGCCTTCACCGTTAACAATGTTAATGCTCCTTCAAAGGGTCAAAAACCTTATGGGCAAATTTTAACTTCAGGATACTAAAATTTGAAAATAGGTTAGAACTTTAGGGCATCAAAGTGAAAATAACCCTTTTTTGAGAAAAATCTTGTATCAAATAATTTGATACAAATTATTTATGAGTCATTTATCTTTAATAGAAACATACGCACCCGTTTATTACCCATTTATCTTTAATAGAAAAATCTTGTATCAAATAATTTGATACAAACTATTTAAGGGTCATTTAGTGGGTGGGGAAATGGGTTTGGGTCAAGTTTGCCATCACTAATCAAATTCACTGTCTACTAAAGGATTTATGATCTGATAATTTTGCTAATTGCATCCTTTGGCAGGCTATGGAGTTCTCATAATTTACAATCTCAATCACTAAACTATCTGCAGGGAAAGCAGCAGCAGCAACGGTTGTTTAAAGATCTTATTGCATACGAAAAAGAAGTCAAGGAGGTTCTTGGTACTCTAGGCTTCATGTCATCTTCTACTTGTTCTGAGGTACTACACTTTTTAGGCCGGGAACACAAAGTTCTATTTATTTTTAGCAAGAAGTTTATACTGTATTGATAACATCTAATCCCCTCTTCTAATATCCAGGTTCTGGAGCAGCTCAAGAAGTTGGCACTGAAGAGAGCAGGGCTCACAGACGAACAAGTACAGGAGAAAATAGAGGAGAGAGCTTTAGCAAGGAAGAACAAGGAATATGAGAAATCGGACTTGATCAGGCAAGAGCTCTATGCAAAGGGCATCTCCCTAATGGATGAACCTAAAGGAACTACTTGGAGACCAAGCGAACCTCCTGAATAGAAATTTGATGAGAGACTAATAAACTTTGAGGTGGGTTCATTTATTTCTCTCCCGCTATACGTAAAGTTGAGATGTATGAAGAGGATGTCAATTAGATAACTTATTAAGTAGATAAACTTTGGGTTTGATAAACCTGGGGATTTCATTTTGTAACTCGGATGTTAATTCCCTTGAGTGACTTAACTAACTGCCGTTGTATTGACATATTACCATGGATTTTTTTTATTCCCTCTCCCATTTTTTATTAGAATTTAAAAACAGATCAAGAGATTGAGTATTCTTAATGTGATTGGAAATATGCACTTACGTTTATTTTCAGGCGATGTGATCGTTCACCGTGCTTCTGAGCTCTTGATGCGTTTTGGTGGGAACGTTATTGTTTTCTTACGTCTTTTATTATCTGTTTGTTTGCTTCTCATCTGGCTTCCTTGCTAATAATGCAGACTGCGAGTCCTGTAGTTCTGCATTTGCTCTGTCTTATGCTGGCGCTTTGATGGGTAAATACTCAAGAGTAAACAGTGGCCGCGTCAATCTAAGTTGCAAGAGTTGTTGGGAAATTTAATATTCTTGAGTTAGACTAATATCCTACTTTTGGATTCAGATGATTATTATCTATGGGGAAATCCTCTTCAGATATTATTTGTTCCGGTGTACATGCCATTTCCGATCACAACCTATTCATATTTGTGTGTAGATCCATTAAAAGAGCATACTATTATGAGCGGATGTTGCTATGGTGAATATGAATTAGGTTCTTAAACCCCAAAAAGATTGGCCTCTTTTGACCTTCCAGATTCTTGTAAGCACTTTTGTGATATTGTTGAAATTTAAGGAATGATCCAAGAGATCATGCCAAAATGAGGGGGGAAATGAAAGGGAAAAAAATGCTATCATTTACGAGCAAATGGATGGAAAAAAAAAAAAAAAAGAAGCGCACGTGACAACTTATTGTAATATTCCTATGGAGAACCTTCTATAGAAATCTTACCTGAAGAAAGGAGAAGGAAAAAATCAGTATAAATAGTCTAAATATCAGCTTAAACAAAAGTTAATAATAAATCAACAACTAACACAATGACTACATGTATGAACCTTTTCTTCCTCCTTCCTGTATTATTTTTTTCACCCTATATATTTCGACAGCGGTACGTAGAAGACGAGCAAAAACGCTAGATTGTTAACATTAGATTAGTATATTTATTACTGGATGCTCGTGTGACGAATCTTTTTGTAGTCTGAATGAAATTTCTTTGAGATTTTCTCAACTTAAAAACCGACATAATTTATGTTTAACCAGTTCTTTATACAGTAATCTAGAGGTGTTTGGTCGGTAGACACGTCGGAGGATATCCCATTGGGTTTGGTTACGTGAAAAAAAATACCCGACCCGAGCAAGGTTTCTCCATCCGTGCCAAATTGCCACGCAAGGCTCGCAAGTCCAACTTATTTGCACGGGTTAAACATGTCATTCCCAAGGTTTTACTTTCAAAATCAGCGAACTTGTTGTTAGTGGAGTCTGAATTACACAAAGAATATACATAGTGTTGAGATTCAGAACTTAACCTTTAGAATTGCACTCGATTACAAACGGTAGAGGGCAAAAAGATATTGTTTATTCGATAATTAATTTTTTTTAATTTTTATTTCAAGAACTATGGATAAAAATTTTGCTATAGATAAGATTGGAGGTTGATCGTAATCTATTGATTATAAGTACAGTAATGACCTGACTTACTCCAATAGATAATTATATTGATTGTCGAATTTAATTAAATCTCTACTTATTTTATGTGGGTCCGACGTCCATCATTTCCCACTTTCCACGTCAAATTAATATGCTAATTACATTATGTCATAGCATCTCAACCTCCCTTTTTTTTTTGTCCAAGGATTTCTTCCAACAGAATGAGTGAAATAAAATAAAAACAAATAATTATATCCCCTAATTGTGTTCATGCATCTCCCATCACTTTCAATGTCAAATCATCATATTAAATCCTATCAAGCGTTAGTCATCACCATGAGGAAAGGGACTAGTTTTCTTATGTGAACATTATTATCTGCATGGGAAGCTGTTTTATTATGTAATCGAATCTTGGTTGTGGGGAATGATGCAGGGACTTGAGAACAAAGCCGAACTTTTTGTGTATACCAAACCCAACATCGGTAATGTCTTAAATCAATATTGGAATATCTTGAAGGGTATTGTAATTTTTCCTAACTCTTAAGATTTGATTAAAGTATCATATTAGTCTAAAAAGTAATATATATTTATCACTTTAGTCTAAAAAGTAACACGAGCGACACATTAACCTAAAAGTGGTAAATCGGCGACATATAAGCATTTCTGATTGCCGGAGGTAATTTTTAAGAGAAAAATTTAAAGTTTTTTCCATATATGCCTCTCAAACCTTTCATATTTGTAGATTTACCACCTCAAGTTTTAAATTTATTAAAAACTCCTCTCTCCCTCCTCTTTCCCACCATCTCCTCCGTTCTTTTCTTATTCCGATCCTCAACCTGCCTTCATCTTTACCGCTCTCTTCCTCCTTTTCCAATCTCTCTATTAAGGATATTGGCATGTTGATGATTGAGGGACAAAGAGAGACTGAGCGGAGCAAGGAGGAAGAAGAAGTAGGAAAAATGAAGAGATTGAAGGAAGTTAGATTTTTTTTTTTTAAATAAGAGATTGGGAATGGATAGAGCAATGAGGGAGAGAAAGTGTGAGAGATGAACAGGGAGTGGGAGAGAGGAACAGGAGAAGGAGGAAGAGAGGACGAGAGAGAGGAGAGAAGTTGTGGATTGAAAGGAGCTAAAAAAGAATGGAGGAGATGGTAGAAAGGAGAAGATATAACCATAATGCTTTGTTTGGGAGTTAACTAAGGGAAGGGACAGAAAGTTAAATAATTGAAAGGAAATGTGGGGAATGGAAGTAAAAAGATAAAATGTTGTTTGGGAGTTTAATTATGGGAACGGAAGTAAATTTATTTTATCTTGTTTGGGAGTTCTAATAAAGAGGAGGGAAGTAAAGTGAATATAGGCAAAGCTACATAAATATCATTGGATGAGAATGCATCTTGGCCATAGATTTTAGTTTGATAAGGGTATAGTTGTCTTATTACATTGTAAAATTTTACACCCGTTTCCATTACTTCCTCTACTGCCCAAATTGGAGGGGAGAAAAACATGTACAAATTTAACCTTCCATTCCATCTTCTAATCCCTCAAAAAAACTCTCAAATGAGGTGAATATTGTGCGCTGTACGAAAGCGTGCTCGACAACCAAACGAGTCGGTGAGCGATGAGAGAAGAGAAACAAACCAAATTATGAGTGCAATTCACCAAAACACGACACAAATCAAACCAAATACAGAAATTTACGTGGTTCGGCAATTGCCTACGTCTACGGGGAGAGGATGGGGAGATTTCACTATATGGAGGAGAAATACAACGGGTTATGACTCACAAAATTACTCAAATATAACACTAACCAAAGTTCTCTACTCCCTCACAATATCTCCCTCTTAAAGTGCTCAAAACAATGCTAATTCTCTCCTTAAGAAACCCTAAAAAATGTGTTTCTATTTATAACAAAATACAATCCCAAACATGGAGGAATCTAAAAATGAGTTTGTCACACCCGGGTGTGGCACGCACCACACCCCTAAAAACAGGACAGATTCTGTCACACCTGGATGTGACAAACACCACACCCCTGACAACAGGGACAGATTCTGCCACACCTAAGTGTTACAAACACCACACCCCTACCGAATCTTCATGTTTGCTAACACTTTAAACAGACGTCGTTTTTTATAATTCTCCACCTCGATGAAGTGTTCCTAAAACTAAGCCGACACCAACATAAGCACCAATATGTTATCTCACCAAATGCGGCCGCACCAATGTGGTTGCCTACGTACCCCCTCTCCCAAGGGATCAAGCCGCCCGTAGTTCATCCAGATGGCCACGAACGGCCTCAACAATCACGAATTTGTAACAAATTTCTACAATGATCGAACTTGTTATTCGGAACCACCTTTGTGAGCATATCTGCTAGATTGTCTTTTGTGTGGACCTTCACGAGCTCCACATCCCCATCTTCAACATCTCAAATGAAGTGATAACGCATGTCGATATGCTTCATCCTTGCATAAAAGACCTGATTCTTCCCCAAATAAATAGCACTCATGCTATCATAATAAATGGTGACGGGTCGCTGCGAAACACCAAGATCCTGTAAAAGTCCTTAAAGCTAAATCACCTCCTTAACAACCTCCGTAATCACCATATACTCTGCCTCTATCGTAGACAAAGCCACAGTAGACTGCAAAGTACATCTCCAACACATCAGCGCACGGGTAAAAGTGAACACATACCCTGTTGTTGACCGGTGTTTATCCAAATCTCCAGCGTAGTCTGAATCTACATATCTAATATATAGCTACCCACCACTAGTGTCCCACTCAAAAACCAAATCAACGTTGAGAGTACCTCGAATGTACCTCAAAATCCATCTCACGGCATCCCAATGACCCGGACCTGGGTCGTGCATGTATCTAGAAATCATGCTTACTGCTTGTGACAAATCTGACCTCGTACAAACCATGATGTATATCAAACTCCCAACTGTGCTTGCATATGGAGTCGTCAACATCAACTCTCGATCTTCAACTGTCTTCAGTGAAAAGTCAGCTAAAAGGTTCAAATGGGTTTCTAATGGTACACCAACTGGCTTCGTTTTCGTGCTCAAATTGAACCGCTGTAGAACATTCTTTAAATAAGCCACATGTGTCAAACAAATTCAACCCTTGTCTCTACCTCTGCCGATCTCCATCCCCAAAATATGCTTAACTTCACCCAAATCCTTCATCTCAAACTCACTCAAAAGCTGAATCTTTAATCTATCCTGGATCTGGAAGTAGAAGCAACTAACATGTCATCGAAATAAAGTAATAAATAAATGTACGCACCTCCATTCAACTTGTGATAGTACACACATGGATTAAACTAGCTTCTAATGTATGAATGGCCGATCATGAACCCATCGAACCGCTTATACCACCGTCGAGGAAATTGTTTCAAATCGTATAGCGATTTATTTAATCTACAAACCAATTTATCCATCCCTACAGCTCGGAATCCTAATGACTGAGTCATATAGATTTCTTTATCAAGTTCACCATGAATAAATATTGTTTTTACATCTAACTGACCTAACTCTAAACCATATTGTGCCACCAAAGCTAGCAAAATCTGAATCGGAGAATGTTTCAC